TCAAATTAATTAATTAATAATATAGATGATTATGATAATTGGGGTTTTTTTGCAATTAATATAATATTGTGCATAAAATTTAATTAACCCAAAAAAAGAATTCACGTATTTATTATGAAAAAATGGATTAAAAAAGGAAACTAAATAACCAATAAAAAGACATTATTTTGACATGTAGGAGAGATAAAATTTAAAAATTAATTATGTGAAATCAATTACATAATAATATGGTGATTATGGTAAGTGGGGTTATTTTGAAATTAATAATAAATTGTGGACTCAATCTCCTCAAGTGGATAAATTTTATTGTGTATGTTAGTTTTATATATAATATAGATACAATGGTCTTTCAACATAATAAATAAAACACTAAATAAAATGGATTTTATTTATAAATCGATGCAACTCATATTATTAATAATAAAACTTTAAGGAGGGCGAAGACATATCATATCGTTGGAAAGGCTGGGCCGTGCCACACCTCAAGTACATCATCCCATTGGTTAAAAAAAAAAAAGAATACGTGTTGCCGCAAACCATGTTATGTGCGTAACAAAACTCTGTCCAACCCTTAGTCAACAACATATACATTTTTCCATGTTTTTTGCGCGAAGATACCGCAACTTGAAAATGATTTCCCTCCTCGTATCGAATATTGATAGTAGACAATCCGACAACCGAGAAGCCTCAACAAAAACATTCTTTAAAGGCTACATATAAAATTGAATGAAGAAATCAGATACAAAATAAAGCAATAATTCATTGTTACACTAAAAAAGAGACTATGATGAATATACCATTGCATGTAGGTGATACCAATGCAATTCTTTTTCAAGAATCCTCTCCATATCTCCGAAACAGAAAAAAAAAAAAAGTATGTGGAAAAGTTGAAGAATGTACATCATGTTGAATGTTAACTTATAGTAGAGTTAGGGAATATAAAAAGGTAACAAAAAAAGTAATTAATATAAATTGATGTAATTACCTATTTTATCTATACTACTTTAAAAATAAACATGTAGGAGAAATAAAATTTAAAAATCGTTATTGTGAAATTAATTCATTAATACTATGGGTGACTATGGTAAGTTGGGTTATTTTGAAATTTATAATAATATGTGATATATGTGGTGGAACATAATTGCATTTCAGTCCCACGATTTTTTTAATGAAAATATTATAATAAAAAAAAACTCATTAACCAATAAAAAGACACTATTTTGCCACGTAGGATAGATGAAATTTGAAAATTGGGTTTTTTTGGCAATTAATATAATATTGTACATAAAATTTAATTAACCCAAATTAAGTGGAATGTCCATTTATATATTTACGTTTTTTAATATGAAGCAATGGATTAAAAAGGAAAATCAATAACCAATAAAAAGACACCATTTTGACATGTAGGAGAGATAAAAAATTAAAAATCATTATTGTGAAATTAATTCATTAATACTATGGGTGACTATCTATGGTAAGTTGGGTTATTTTGAAATTTATAATAATATGTGATATATGTGGTGGAACATAATTGCATTTCAGTCCCACGATTTTTTTAATGAAAATATTATAATAAAAAAAAAACTCATTGACCAATAAAAAGACACTATTTTGCCATGTAGGATAGATGAAATTTGAAAATTGGGTTTTTTTGGCAATTAATATAATATTGTGCATAAAATTTAATTAACCCAAATTAAGTGGAATGTCCATTTATATATTTACGTTTTTTTAATATGAAGCAATGGATTAAAAAGGAAAATCAATAACCAATAAAAAGACACCATTTTGACATGTAGGAGAGATAAAAAATTAAAAACCAATAATGTGAAATAAATTCATTAGTAATATGGGTGAATATGGTAAGTGGGGTTATTTTGAAATTTATAAAATATTATGGACTCAATCTCCTCAATTAGAAAACTTTGATTGTGTATCTTAGTTTTATATATAATATAGATATTTGATAAAATGTTTAGACAAGCAACCAATTATAATAATTCAGTTTATAAATTACTTGAGCTAACCCAATGAAAAAGGACAAGTTAAAATAATAAACAGAGGAGTTAAAAATTCTTGTTTTGAGGGTAAGAGGGTATTTGCTTTAAGCTTATAAGCTCTTAAAAAGAGTTTATAAGATGTTTGAAAATAAATACTTTTAAAGTATTTAGTAATTTTTTTTATTAAAAATATCTAAAAAATTCTGAGACCAAATAAATAATTTATTTTAAATAATTGATTTACACAATATTTTTATTTAAGATTTTGTAATGAGTAAAAATAGATTATAAAATCATTATGAAAAACTTTAATACATAATTCTAAATATAAGACTTAAAAAGCTAACAACTTATCAACTTTTATAATATCTTATTAAATGTAAAAGCTTATAAGCTGTTTAAAATAAACTTAGTTAAATGGGTTCTAAATCAAAAACGAAAAACTAAAAAAATAACGTGTCTTTACACTTGTGGATAAAATAAATTTGGGTAAATTACGATCACCTTTGGAGTAAGGTCAAATTATATAAAAAAAAAATCTTTTTGGTTTGATAATTACAACCACCCCTCAGTTATGAATCCTTACAGGTACGCCATGATATCAAATTCGACATAATCTTCTAGATTTTGCGGACTCGTTTCGTGCAAAAATGTAGTTTCTAATGCACCACAATCTGATATATATACAAATCAAGATACACATTTTATAATCATTTTGTTTCAAAATGTGGAGCTCGAATTGGGTAAAACGGATACAAACAGAACAATATTCTACATAATTTAGAAGTTCCACTAAATTTCCGCAAGGATTGACAAGTAAGAAGTTTCATAATTGGAGGGAACAATTGTAATTAATCAAACAGAAAAGTTCTTTTTTCTGTAATTTAATCTTACCTCGAGGGTGCGGCCGTAATTTACCCAAATAAAATTAAGGGATTTTTCTAATTTTCCCTTTTTACATAAATATCGACCACTATAAATACCCACGTCCACCACCGCAAAAACGCTTTTCTCCAGAAAACGTGAACACAAAGAAAAGTACTTCTCTATCCAATCTTGGAATCCCAAACCCTAATTTTTGATTCAATTTGTTCCTTCTCCAATTTGAATTTGGGAATAAATGTCTATTGAGCAATCGAGGCGATAAATTATTCTCGAACTAAATTAATTCAAAAATACAAGAATAATGTCTGCAATGGTCTATGGCAAGAGATCGTTCTTCGATGACATGGACTCGTCGCCGGAGTCCGCACCGCAGCCGGCGTACAAGAAGTTCCGGTGCTCTTCGTCGGCGTCTCCGGTGCCGTTTACTTATTCGCCGCCGGTTCAAACAAGCCTAGTTGATCAGCTCAAGGCTTTGTTTCCCGATACTGAAATTCAGGTGAGCGTTACGCTTAGGTTTCATTATCTCTGTTGTTCCTAGGGTTTGGTAGATAGATACGAATTGTTCGTTATATATTTGTTTCTTGAGCAATACGATATCTTGAGCAGTCTCTTAAATCCAATCCAACCTTGTTTGTTCATTTTAAATGAATTTATGTATAATTAAATTCGGCTGAATTGTATTGTTTGGGAAAATGGTGAATTGGAATATAATTTAGCAGCTGCTTACAAATGCTTAAAAATATGACTGGTTATTCGGCCTTTTATAGTGCACGTACCATCGTTCACTCTTGTTATTCTGTTCAATCTTACCGTTTCTTTAACTACTTTCAGTTTCTCGAGAAGGCTCTAGAAGATTCTGGCAACGATTTGGACTTGGCTATTAAAAGCATTCATGAACTTTACGATGGATATTCCAAGGGCAACTCAGGCTCTGCTTCTGAAGAAAATAACATTATCGAACAAGGTCTGAAATTGGACTTCTTTAATTTTTACTTGAGATTAATCCGTGTGGAGTGTTTTATCGAGTCAGCTTAGCCTTCTTAATCTGCATATTTTGAACCAAGACAGATTTTTGCCGATCGATGTATGCATATGAAATTGGACTTTTTGTCGTGTTCGTGATTAAATTTGCCATTGTTTGATTCCTTACCGAAAATTAGTTATTTTGGGGAGAAGTTCGGATGTATAATTCGAGCATGATAATTTTTGGCGTTTTTTTACGTGTATGTTTCAATGAATTTGTTGTTCTCGTAATTAATTATCGACATCTTAGACTTCAAATTTATAATTCGCAGGTGCAACACCAACTAGTGGGGATGCAGTTAATTTACAGGAGCCTCAAGTCCAAAGCAACCTGCCGGTAAATGGTACCGAATGGGTTGACTTATTTGTGACTGAGATGATGAGTGCCACTAGCATTGACGATGCAAGATCCCGCGCAGCAAGAATATTGGAAAGTTTGGAAAAATCCATTAATTCTCGAGCTAGTGCTGAGTCAGCTCAAAGTTTCCACAAGGTGACAAATCCAAATCTTGCCTTGCATATCTCTGTATAATTTTTAAATCAATCAACAAAATTATAGATTGGAGAGTCTGTAGATGTTTATTATGATCCGATCGACCCAATTCGAATGAACGTTCTTGCAACTCATAATATTTCGTTTAGGAAAGTGTGATGCTGAAGGAACAAATGGAGGCGCTTGTACGAGATAATGCAATCCTTAAACGAGCTGTAGCGATACAGTACGAACGGCAAAAGGAGAATGACGAAAGGAGCCAAGAGGTGCAGCAGTTGAAGCAGATGGTGGCTCAGTACCAAGAGCGTGTGAGAACTCTCGAGGTTAGTTAGTGCGTTTTTTTTTTTATTTTATATTTAAATGTTTTCGTTTTATGATATTTTTGTATATTTTATGATAAGTTTTTCCATTTAACTATGTATGTTTGTGCAGGTGAACAACTATGCGTTGACATTGCATTTAAGCCAGGCTCAGCAGAGCAGCTCCATTCCTGGTCGATTTCATCCCGATGTGTTCTAATGAGAAAAGATGGAGAAGTCGTTTACTATTTATGCGTTCGTGTGAAAAAAAAGAGAAGAGAAAAAGATACACTACGTGTGCTTTTTCTATAGGTTGTATAATGAACTGCTTACAGAAGCTATATACTGTTCTTGCATTGGGTTTCAATCAAGTTTTCTTTTAGTGTTCTTGCCTTTTTTTTTGGGTAAATAGCACTTAAACCCCTGTTGTTTGAACTTTGTGATATGGCCCCCTTATACTTTCAATATAAGCAAATTACCCCCTTGTACTTTAATATAAGTACATAACACCCTTGTGTTATTCCACTTAGCCAATATTTATGTTCATTTTTTTTAATGATGGAACCCGCAGTAATCATGTAGGTGCATTGAGTAAACTTAAATTCTCGTATAATAGTTTGTAAATCATACGAGAGAGAAAAAATGGGGAAAAATGGTTTTATCTAAAATACTACAGATTAGGATTTGTTATTAAATTATTAATACTATTGAAAAATCACATCTAATACAAAAATAAAATAAAATTACATTCATTGATATAACAGAAGAAATCGATTATTTTATTTTATTAAATGACTCGATGGAAAATGTATTTTAATCCAATCCAACACAAATTACTCGAGCTGGATGTACAGTTTAGGCAATTCCGGTCCGAACCGGACATAATAATACTTGTGTAGTTGTATTATCTCAATTACCATTCCCTCAGAAAAAAATCCCAAATCGCCACCCCTCTTTCCCCCAACCCCAAACCCTAATCGGAATTTGTGTCCGATCAGTTAGAATCAGTAAAGATGGTGCTCGCGGAATTAGGTGGAAGCATTTCGCGTGCTCTTCAGCAGATGAGCAATGCGACGATCATTGATGAGAAGGTTTTAAATGATTGCCTCAATGAGATTACGCGCGCTCTCCTTCAAGCTGATGTTCAGTTCATGCTCGTTCGCGATATGAAGAACAATATCAAGAAAATCGTCAATCTCGAAGAGCTAGCTGCCGGCCATAACAAACGCAGAATTATCCAAGAGGTGCATACCGATTTTTACTTTTTTTTTTATTTATCCCGCAATGGTTGAAAAAATAGAGTTATCGGTTTATTTTTGTACTTGAAATTATTTATAAATTGAGGGTGTGATTTTCAGTCCTGGATCCTAATTGAGGGTTTTGGATATTCGATGATTTTAGATGTGGGATTTGATCTGGGAAGGCGAAAATTGAAAATTAAGGAAAATGTTGTGCTTTGTTGTGGGATTTAGTAACTCAATATTCTTCCCTCTTTTTTTTGGCTGCGAATATGAAGATATTCTTTAGATAGTTTATTATTTATTCATATTTTCTCTTTGTACTTCTTCTTTGGGGCGTGGTTATTAATTTGGGAAATGGAGTTGCAGCATGATTTTCGTGTCGGTGTTACAGTGTTTTTCTGTTGCATGTACTTGCTCGTTTTCAGATGCATGTATGGTTGATACACCATACATGCATGATTATGTATGTATGTCTGCTTATCTCCTATATGTTATGTAATAAGCACCATGCTGTAGTTTTTATTTTCGTCATGTGTGATCGTATTCCCAATTACTGAACCAACTGCGAATGGATTCAAAATAACAATGTCTTGGTTTCTCTTTTCATCCTTTTCTACTCTTGCAAGTTTCTCATATTTTTTTCTTCCCCTCTTTTTGCAGGCTATTTATAACGAGCTATGCAAGATATTGGATCCCGGGAAACCTTCCTTTGCTCTAAAAAAAGGGAAAACTAGTATTGTTATGTTCGTTGGTCTGCAAGGTATGCTGTTATCATGGCATTGATGTTAGTCATTGATGTGTGTTGTATAGAGTGTCACTCCGGGCTGAAAGTCCGTAAATTGTCGACTCGCACTTGGGTTATGCAATTACATGTTTAATTGACTGTGATGACATATTCAGAAGTATTTAATTATGCACACATACTTGATTCTAGGGTCGGGGAAAACTACTACCTGTACAAAATATGCATACCATCACCAGAAGAAGGGATGGAAACCTGCCCTAGTTTGTGCAGATACATTCAGAGCTGGTGCATTTGATCAGTTGAAGCAGAATGCCACTAAAGCTAAAATACCTTTCTACGGAAGGTATCATTCTCTCAGTTATTTGGTGGACTAGCTTCTTAATGTATGGTTAGAATATGCTGTCAGTATGTATGTATGTATCCATGGAAGAAATAAAGAACCAATTACATTCTTTTGTTGCTCAATTGTCTGAGAAAGTAGACTTCACTTCAGTATCTGTTATACTGATCCAATTTCATGAGAAAATAAGTATTCTAATGAAGTTTCTACTCGTTCATAATCAAGGCCTTCAAGTATAAAAGGTCCATTATTGTTTAATACGTAAGATTGGTTTACCTCGATCAGTAATATTATGAAATTATTTATGTGGGGATTATGAGCAAAGTTGGAGAATTGGTGTTTCCGTTATTAGGTTTATGGTGTGTAGTGTGTTAATTATGCATATTTTGTGGGAAACTCTTTTCCAGCATCTTCTACTTTTTCCCTTTTAGATACAAGACTTGTTATTTTATCCAGTCAATTTTTTCTTCAAAGAGATCTTTTTGATCCAAATGCATTAAGTTGCTGCCATCCTCAATCTTGGGATTCTACAACTGATTATTTGTTTGTTTACAGCTACACAGAGTCTGATCCAGTGAGAATTGCAGTTGAAGGGGTTGAAAGATTTAAGCAGGAAAATTGTGATCTCATAATCGTTGATACTAGTGGACGTCACAAGCAGGAAGCAGCTCTTTTTGAAGAGATGCGTCAAGTTTCTGAAGCAACGGTATGCTTTTCTCTGATGCTCCTTTTTTTTTTTATTATTTTTTATTATGTACTCTCGACTTTATAATAATTAAATTATTATATGAAAATTCCAGAAACCAGATCTTGTTATATTTGTCATGGACAGCAGTATTGGTCAAGCTGCCTTTGATCAAGCTCAGGCATTCAAGCAAAGTGTTGCGGTTGGAGCTGTGATTATCACTAAGATGGATGGGCATGCTAAGGGAGGTGGTGCTCTTAGTGCGTAAGTTTTAAAAAGAGCTTATGAAATTTTTTAATTTAATTGGTGGGGTAGCTATTAAGACATGGGAGTGATGGACACATCCCTTCCCAATTTGCATGTGCTCTAGCACCTTTCGCCGAATGGATAGAGAAGTTCACTCAACTTTGGCTCTGTTCCTAGTTTCAGGGTGTAGGAAACTGTAATATAGTACTAGTAGATATTGATGACAAGTTTGGGGAAGATGGTTACGGACATAATTTGTTACATTCGATAATTAAATTTTATGATTATATCATGGCAGTGGAATAGAGATATAGTTATATATATATATATATATATATATATATATATATACTCAACCATAGTAGAAAATTGAGATTGAAATACCATGTTGAAAACTTTAATAGGAAAAGTAGAGTTTAATAGTTGGGAAGGATTTAGATTATTGTGAGTGTTTGGGTCCCTTTTTGGGTAAAGTGTTTCTCTTTTCAGCTATAAGATGTATGGATTGTGTTTGGCAGCACAATTGATTAGTTAATTCCAAGAAATATGTTTCGTTTTAGAATGAGAGACTCGAATGATTGAAGAATGCCCTTGATATATATAACATATAACCAGCTGTACCCTCATAGAAATTAAAGTTGAACATTTTAGCAAAATATGTGACAACTGACAAGGCGTTTTCTTGATTGGTGCTGCTCTCAGTTATCCGGAATAAACATGAATTGTGGGATGTCTTCCAACATTTTAATGAACATTAAGTACCTAGTAAACAACTAATAGCTTTAATCAGCCATTCTCAATAGTAAGTTGCATATTTTATGTGGTGATCTCACTGAAGTTTTGAAGTATCTTTCAAGTTGTAGGCTCATTATTTCATGTATAGATTAAACTATCCGACACCTATGAACATGAATTAACACAATATGTTATATCATTGAAAATATGTATTGATCCCCCTACTCCCTTTGCAGGGTCGCAGCAACAAAAAGTCCAATCATATTTATCGGGACGGGAGAACATATGGATGAGTTTGAAGTATTTGATGTCAAACCATTTGTTAAACGTCTTTTAGGTTGGCATCCTTAATCGTAGTTACAATTCGTTTTTTTGTTGTTGCTAATATTGTTCAAATAAGTAGCATTGTATTGCAATTTTTATAGGTTTCGGTGATTTGTCTGGATTCATGGACAAAATTCAAGAAGTTGTTCCTATGGATCAACAGCCCGAGCTTCTCCAGAAGCTTTCAGAAGGCAACTTTACTTTGAGGATTATGTACGAGCAATTTCAGAATATACTTAAAATGGGTCCTATCGGTCAGGTCTGTCAGTTGCTTATGTACCTATCTCTATGGGGTTTTAATTAGTGGTTCTATTTTCCAGAATATACTGATGCCACTAACAAGAATGCCTTGAAAATAATTACTTTCAAATAGAATTGTCAATTGTGTTTCAATGTGGACCGAGTAACTACTGCAGAATGATATGCTTCTTGCTTGATATAGTTCATCACAGACGTCAGATTATTTTGCCACCATCATCTTCACAATATATATATATATATATATATATATATATATATATATATATATATATATATATATATATATATATATATACACTATGAAAATAATTTTTTTGTGCAAGTTCTCTTTTGAATAGACATATCTTGATCAGATTCGAATAACTAAAACTCACTCCATTTTTTTTGTGTAGGTGTTCTCCATGCTTCCAGGATTTAGCCAAGAGTTGATGCCCAAAGGTCGTGAAAAGGAAAGCCAGGCCAAGATTAAAAGATACATGACAATGATGGACTCAATGACTAATGAAGGCAATTTTTTTCTTTTACCGCATGAAGTTATTTGGTTCGATGTCCAAACTTTATTACGTTAAAAATAACACGTTAATATTGCAGAATTGGACAGTTCGAATCCGAAGCTGATGAACGAATCTCGAGTAATGCGGATAGCGAGAGGATGTGGTCGTCCAGTAAGGGATGTAATGGAAATGTTGGAAGAGTACAAACGGCTGGCGAAGATTTGGAGCAAGATGAAGGGTTTGAAGATTCCAAAGAAGGGAGAAATGAGTGCTTTATCGAGAAATATGAACGCACAACACATGAGTAAGGTACTTCCTCCTCAGATGCTGAAGCAGATTGGTGGAATGGGCGGCTTGCAAAGCTTGATGAAGCAAATGGGCTCTTCTAAGGATATGATGGGTATGTTTGGCGGTGGAGATAAGTAGATTAGTGCGGCGCCCAAAAAAAAAAAAAGAAAAAGAACGAGTCGAGTCGAGTTGATTAAGGTTTTTGCACTTCAACAGAAGTTTTTGGCACAGTTTGCCTTAAATTTGGTTAAGTTATTACAATGTACAACTTTTTTTATTTTTTATTTTTGTGAAAAACTTCGACGTTACCATTGTTCCTGTTACTGTATGTTCACGGATACGTTTGGATACGGTAAACTTTAATTGTGGAAATGACATGAAAGAGATTTTTGTAAGTGGCATTTAGGATTATATGTGGGATGTGTGTTTTTAATATAATACTGTAGTGAAAGTAGAAAAATAATACTGCTGTATTTACATAAACGATAACTGCAAAAATCAAATCGAGTCACGAGAAAACGCCTCTTATTTGGATAATAATTACAACCACCTTGTTCAGATACTAGAGTAAACAGAAACAGTAAACTGCAATTTCAAGTCATATCTGCTTTTACGGTGAACTGTCAACGTAAATACATACATACGATACTCTTACAAAGACAACATATCATCTTAATTACATTATCCAACCGCAGTAGTTGCCAGTTACAGTTTTTTCCTCGAAGAAATATCGTCTTCAACTGTTCCAGAGCTGTCAGGACTATCATCATCAGTCGTATTAAGATCATACCGCATACGAGAATTCCCTCGTTTCCTCGGAATTGCATTGCTAATGACAGCATCTCTTACCATCTTCCTCCATTCATCATCTGTAATCTTAGTCACGTTGTCACTTCCGTTATGAGTTGTAGTGACCTGTGTAAAAAGCTGCTCCTGTTTAGTACCATGATTTATTAAATGAAAATAAGGTTCTCTCAAAACGCAATATGTATTTTAATATTGTCGCATGAATCTGAATTACCTCCGATAATGTTCTTTCTTTTGTCACCCTGTCGAGCTCCTGCTGCAATGCAGATTGAGAAATTCGAAGTGATTTAACTTTCCCAGAAAGAAATTTAATAACTGACTTGGATTTCAAGTCCGACTCTTCATGGAATTTCTGCAAGTTTTTAAGCTGCTCTTTCGCAGAATCGGATTCTTGCCGCAGTGCTTCATTCTCTTTAACGAGCGAAGTTTTCTCGTCCTGAGTTATTACAGATATTAAAGTATTTCCAGGAAATGCAGAACGGAACAAAGTTCACAAGAAAACAAATTCAGAAAAAAGTTTGGTTTTCAATCTGACCTCCATCTCTCCATACTTTCGTCCGAGTTCCTCCATGTCCCGTTGCAAGTTAGTAAATCTTTCCGTTTCCAAGAAAATCGCCTGCTTCAGACTTTCTTCGCCACTCGTCTTTGTAGATTCAAGTTCACTTTCCAAATCTTTGACCTACAAAGAACAACACCAACAATGAGTTCATCTGCAACATAATCCTGGTAATCACTAATCCTCTTCATTAACCACAAATATTGTCATAATCACAATTTCTGTCTTTTCTTTCTTTCATGAAGTTGTGCAATCTTACATTCTCAAAATTTAATTTATGTCGTGCATAATAATATTATACCAATGCAGTATCGCACATGCAGTAATTAAAGCACAATTTTTACAGATAGAATCAGCTATACACATAGCTTTAGCTGTATTCGCTTAACATTTGACGAGGGCAAATATACCTTTGCGGTAAGATACTGTCTGGCAGCACGCTCTTGATCTAGTCTTGCTATAAGATCTTCGATATCCGTCTTTGACGTCAAAAATCGTTCTTGCATGGTAGTGAAAACCCTCTTTATTTTCTGCTGCTCTTCCATTGGAAGAAAAACCAAAGCTTCATTCGGGAATTGCAAATCTGAGCTGGCAAGTGTGTCCGAAGCTTCAACACTTTCACAAGATTTAGACGAACCGCCGCAATCTTGATGAACCTCCGTATTATTTTTCTCGTGAAAGGCTTCACTCGAGGAACCATCAGTGTGGCTTGAAAGTGGATCTGATGAGCTGTCACCGTTGCATAAATTTATATTCGGCACCTGGTGACTCGACTCACTGAATGCTGAAAGGTGAGAAAATAAGTAATGAGCTTATATATGAAAATCGAAATTATTTAAGTTGCCGGCAACCGAAAAAATAGATACATACATGACCTTGCAGCCGCTTCTAATTCAAGAAAGCATGCCACGGGAGCACTTCTTGAGAAATCCATATCAGAAAGTACTTTTGTCATCCAATCCTCCAAAGCACACCTACGCTGCGACGAATTTTGCTAATTTAGGATGGTAATGTAATAAAATCAAATTGATGTATACGAACAACCACACAACTTATCAGATCATAATAACTCTATTAAAATTTTATATTGTACGACGTAAAGTCTAACATTAAATCCCGCTTAAAAGAAGGATTTATGTCTTTCACTTACTATATGCTATCCAATAATCCAAGAAGTAGAATATATAGTGATGTTTTGCTTAAAAGCGGAATTAATTTCAATGAGAAGACACCACCAGTGTCCAGTCGGCATTATCTTGAAACTTTTGAGGATAAAAAGAAGTAATTTACGAGACATTCACCAAGAACCAAAATAAAGGAGTTACATACTTCCTCCAAAACTGCTCTGCTTTTTATTCTCAAAAGCCCCTTCGGAGGAGCAGGGGGCAATTTTTTCTTGGGAAAAGACCGGTTTAGCTGCAAAGGCACAAACAATGTCGTTCTCGTTAGAGAAAGTGTCAATTACTAGACAAGGTGAAGTTTCCTAGTCTATGTACAAGATACTGGTCGATTGTGTTGTACGGGTCCTTTGGAAAAAGGCAAACTCACATCAGATGACAGCTTCAAGAAATCACTAAATCTTCTCAACACTTCCCGTGTCGCGGTAACTCCTAATGGTGACTGCAAACCGACTTGAACCCTGTAAAACTGTGATATGGGAAAGTCAAAACAGATACGATTCATAAAAAAAAGTAAATTGAGACGAATAATAGATTCTATACCGTTACGGGTTCCGAACCTCCCGATTCGGAAAAGATGCTACAAGAAGGAACTGTGACACAATAACTCCATCCTGTTTGGAAATCATGAGGCCAGATTGTGCTCGGTCCGTTCTACAACACAAACGGGAGATTGTTAAAATACAAAATGCACGGTATACTCTTGCATATTCAGTCACAAAATAATACTCCAGAACAAAACATGGGACAAAAAAAAAACCGGTGCCGGAAAAACCTGGTAAATTCAAATAGCATTTCTGGTTAAATTTGATGATAAATGATGCTAATAATTTATTAATTGGGAGAAAAAAATCATAATTAGGTAATCCAGACAGTCGATTTAGTTCTAAAAGAGTTCATGAACAAATTGAGTGCACAAATAATATCATTCGGCCATGGGAAAAAAATAACATAAATACAACTACAAGAGTAAAATACGAATGATTCATGATTGCTGATTGGCATAAATTAAACTTAACGAAACATACCCTAAGAACTGATAAATGGCTAATTTCCTAATTGAAATCGAAAAATCGAAAGAAAAAAAGGTGATTACCCAGTTACGAGGAGGAGGGCTCCAGTCCATTCCAAGAGGCAGCGGCGAAAGTCCGTCGTGCCGACGCTTCGGCGGAGTGCTATCGGACTTGATTTCTCTCAAAATTGAACTGGAAAGTTTGAGCAAATTCTTCTCCTCCTCGTCGATTTCTCTGTGCCTTGTGTCTCTGTACATCCGATGAGGGCTTGAAATTGATTCGATGAGAGTGGGATCGTCGAAGCCCACGTCGAGGAGTGAGTAATCGAGCCCGTACAAATTCATGACTGAAACTTGTTTGATGAATTGTTTCTGAGAGATTTTTTTTTTTGCGTGATTCTTCTTCTTCAGTTGACGACGACGCTTATGTTCGATTGATAATTACAATGGGATCCCCGCTAGTTAAGATAATAACAAAACCAACCATGTAATTTATTTTATTACAAACAAAGTATTTAAATATTTGGGTAATTGGCATTTTGCACGCTCAAAATAGATGTTATTGGCAATTTGCACCCTTCAATTAGAAAAATAGTATAATGTACCCTCCAATTACAACTTGTTTGGCAAACTGGAGTCTAATTCACTTTTTATATAAAAGAAAGTGACCCACTACCTATGTTCTTGGGTTATCAATATTATAAAAAATGTCTGGAAAACCCCTAGTATATCGGACCACTGCCACTGAAGAATGTTGAAAGGCACATGGAGGAGTTTACTTTGAATGGCTTGGAAATGGACATGAATTTGTCGATTTTGGTAACCCCTAGCATATCGAACCACTGACACTGAAGAATGCGATGAACTTGAAAGGCACATATCGGGGTCACTCTCACTGAAGAATGTGATGAACTTGAAAGGCACATGGCTGGTAACAGAAGACTGGATCTCATCCAAGAAATTGACCTTTGCTAATTTGAATTCGAACTTCGCCCATTGCAAATAAGCTGAGAAATCTCAACTTCATCGGTCTGGTGGTGCAAAGAGAAATAGGTCCCTTACGCTAATTCGAATTTGAACTTCGCTCATCACAAATAAGCTGAGAAATAGCAACTTCAACCATCACAAATAAGCTGAGAAATAGCACTCTTTACGCTAAATCGATATTCGCCCATCGCAAATAAGCTAAGTCAGCTTCACTCAAATAAGCTAAGCCAGCTTTACTCGAAATAAGCTAAGTCAGCTTTACTCGAAAGTGATTATAAAAGAACATAAGTATTGGAGAATGTCAAAGAATGCTTTATTCCTCTCAAGCTTTAAATTATTGGATTGTTGGATGATTATAAATGAATGAGCCTATCCCTATTTATACAACTCCACCTCCTCGATGGATTGTGATGATCATCTTGATTAAAGGCTACGATTAACTCCTACGATATGCTACAAAATATATACAAATGACGATCTTCTAAGGATCTCTACATTAGTGGGAGAATTAATCTCTATTCTTGGGCCTAACTGGCCCCTTCGACTTGGGCTCACTTGATGGACCATCTTTAACCCCTTGATTCCAAGGTGAAACGACACTATACTATTATGTCAATCGTTCTTTGGTTGATTGCAAATGGTTGTTTAAGGTTGAAAATGAAGTGGATTCAATTAGATATAAAGTTAGGTTTGTAGTTAAGGGTTTTACTTAAAAATAGGGTGTTGATTACACCGAGATTTTTGCCCCCATATGTAAATTCACCATTGTGCGCCTTATGCTTGCTATAGTTGCTCATTATAGTTAGGAATTGAAGCAAATTGATGTTAAAACTTTTTTATTTTTTATTATTTTTTTATTTTTTATGGTGAACTAAATATTTATATCTTAAAGGTAAAATAAAATAAAAAAGGCCCTGGCCCATAAAGTAAAAATATGTAAACACTTAATTTATTTTCGGAAAAAAATTAAAATTTTCGGAATTAATTTGGGAAAATAAATTGGATCGGAAATCGGAAGTTTTAAACAATTTTTATATGATTGCAATTACAATGCAAAAAAGGTCGGAGAACATCGAAAATCAAAATTTTAGAAATTGTAATAATTGTTTCAAAATCGGAATGTTTCGTATCAAACCGGCGAAAATTGGAAATTATATTCCAACTTTCATCACTAATCTTAAGTGAAATGTTTACGTTATAATTATTCAATGTATCATGCCCGTTTCAAAAAGTTTTGGTTGTTAAAATAAATAACATACAAATAAAAAATCAAATACAAATTATAAAGTAAGAATTCGAGCTCTACGCTTATTTATCTCGGGTAATCGAAGGGGGAAGTTATTTCTCGTTATTTTACTTTTATTATTTTCCAAACGACCTCCAATCGGTTCATGAGCTCAAATATAATGTCGAACAAACGACCACGGCTCAAAATCGACCTAATCGAGAAAAGAATCATCCAAACGAAAATAAATAAATCGATAACAAGAATACAAAAAATCATGGCTAAAACATTTGTGAGATACTTATACAATAATCAATAATAATGTATTAAATTGAAGAAATTGGAATTACTAATTAATTAATTGCGTGGTGGGCTTACAAGAATCTCTTTGTTTCTAGGTGAGTTAACATGTACGCTATTTTACTGTCCCGAGTTGTACTTTTACCAAAGTACAAACATATAATACATCTTCTTCTCTACTGCCACTCCTTAAAGTCAGGTGACATTTTTCCCTCTTTACTCTTCTTTTTCTTTTTTCTTTTTATCTTTTTTTCTTTTTTAATTATATAATACATTTTTACTGCTTTATATGTATATATATATATATATACATGACTTCAGTGGCTAAGGGCAGCAATCGGGTCACATGAGCCGAGCTTAGTTAAGCTCAAACTCAAATATCGTCGGGACTTAAGATTAGAAGATCAAACCCATATACTATCGGGTTTTGTAGTTATTAGGCTCAAAATCGACGTATACAATATTTCGGACTTCTTGTGTTAAATGGACTCTAATACGACTTATAACACTACATCTTATAAAATCGTGACTCCACTAATGCAAACATTCATGTCATAATCCTTTTTTTTTTATATAATTATTATAAGGGTAAATTTCACTTTCTCCCCTTGTACTTTGGCTCGATATCACTTTACCCCTTCTACTTTCAATTGCATCGATTTGACCGCATGTACTTGAAAAATTGTCTCAATATAGCCATCGCCGTTAGTTTTTAAAAATTTAACCTTAACACCGTTTGATCTAAGTCTGAAAATTACAAAAAAACCACCCCTAACAGTTTAAATAATTATTTATTTAAAAAAAAAATTAAAAAAATAAACATAAATTGTGGCAGCCATCGTGGGACTATGTTTTCTCGTTTTCTTGATTTTTTAATTATTTATTTTTGTTTTTTATTTCTTTTTGCTTTCGTAATTTCAAAGTTTAGACCAAACGATGTTAAGGTTAAATGTCTGACAACTAACAACAAGATCCACATTAAGAAAAAAATCAAATACAATGGGGACAAATCGATGCAATCGAGAGTAAAAGGAAGTAAAGTAATATCTAACCAAAGCATGAGGAGAGAAAGTGGAATTTACACTTATTATAATTAACTGAATTATAATTCATCACAGTAAAAAAAAAAATATAAAAAAAAAAAAAAAAAATGGAAATGATCTGAAGTCCGTGCAGGTGCACGCTTGGTTGGGTGAGGTGCCCCCACAGGTGAATAATGAATGATAGGCAAAGAAGTAACGTTGTACATTACATTCGCATATGCAATGTCTTACGCAGTCACTCCAAAATGGCTATGCATTTTCTGACACCCCCATTGTGTGGTTGCGTGATCACACATTTCATCTTTTTTTCTTTTTCCAATTTTATAACATTATTTATATTTTATTTTATTTAATAATATGTTTTTCTCATCATTGGGTAATAGATTGTATTGCCCTTTGAAAATTGCATTTTTAATCTCTCATTTTCAGTTAATAATAAGTAGAGTTAAATACACCCTTAAAGAAAATATCAAATTTAACACTTTCCCTTTCAATTAATAAATTAAATGGTTAAATTACAACCACCTCCCTGAGGTAAGGTCAAATTACGAAAGAACCCCTCATGTTTGGATAATTACAACTAACTCTCAACTATGCATCTTCTTATTAGTCCACCCTTATGGACTGTCAAATTCAACATAATCTTCTAGATTCCGTGAAAGTTCTCTAGTTTATGCTCGTTTTTTTTGCAAAAAATACAGTTTCTTATACACAACACTCTGGTATATATGCAAGCCAAAAAACACATCTTATGATCATCTTGCTTCGAAATGTTGAGCTCGAATGGGATAAAACGGGTACAAACTTGAGAATATTCCATATAATTTAAAAGATTCCACTCAATTTGACATCAGTGGGGTGGACGTGTAAGAAAAGTCATAGTTGAGGGGGTGATTGTAATTAATTACCTAAACATGATACTTTTTTCGTAATTTGACCTTACCTCAGGGGTGGTTGTAATTTACCCAAATTAAATAGAACTTTGTCCCGCAAGGGATGATCTAACGGTCGGAGCAGGTGAACTTGTTCAATTGATCGTTAGGTGGAGTTTGTTACACGTGGCCAGCTTAATGTGTTTACATCTCTCGTATAGTTTATGTGGTTTACATCTCTCGTATGATTTACATCTTTAAAATCAATTTTGTAATTTCAAAATTCTAAGTTAAAAGAAGAAAAAAAAATTCTAAATTTTAGTTTAATTTCAATTTTTTTTTTTTTACTTTCCCAATTCATTGTTGCACGTAGAGTACTTGTTATGTTCGTTGCAACCATAATATACATATTCTCTGAATTGTTTTTACAATCAATACATCTCACTTGTGAAAATCTATAATTTGATGGTGAAAATCTATAATTTGATGTATGTATGATTCCAAATTTATTGTATTAACTTTAATGAAGATACAATAATAAATATTGGAATAAAAATCCATGAAATTAGTTTTTTTTATAATAAAATTGAATTTTTGAAAAAAATAGTACTACATATTCATTTTTATATATAAGGGCATTACAAGAAAAAATACCATGTCATTAAAATAAAAAAATCATATGTTTTAAGGGTGCAACGTGTATTTTATCCTAATAAATATGCTTATAAATTTATAATAATAAAAAATAAAATATCAAATTAATTAGGGCAATGGATCCAAAATTAATATTTGTTCTTTCCTTTTATTTCGGTATGCGCTGGTTTTACCTTTCTATCGTGCAATGAATCACTCTCAAAATTTGCCTTTGTCCTCACTCTTTTTTGTGTTTCTTTTTTCCACCCTGTTATATATATATATATATATATATATATATATATATATATATATATATATATATATATATATATATATATATATATATATATATATATATATATATATATATATATATATATATATATATATATATATATATATATATATATATATATATATATATATATATATATATATATATATATATATATATATATATATAAACAAAAGGTGAAAAATCCTATATTTATCAAAAAGGCCGTTGATGTGCCTAATTGGATCAATCCAATGAGCCTATAATTTCTTTATCTACTGGGTCACGAGCCCAATATTGAAGACAAACTGCAACTGATGTTCAATCACCTTCAAATAAGGTTTGGGCCCGACAATTACAATCAAGTAACTTCAGCCCAACCAACTCGGTATAAATAAAAATTACAATTCATTTGTTAAGGTACGTTCAATATTCGAACTATACAACTGCTCGTATTCGACCTACGACTTTTGCTATCCACACACCTGGCTTGAGCGCCGGAGAGGTTTCCGCCGGATCAACATCCGGTTTAGTTTACGTCTTCTCTGATCGCATGTATCTCAAGGTCATCAAGCTCGTGAGCCAGTGATCCAGTTTGCTCTTCCAGCTCATCATATTTCAACTATATCAGGTGATCTATCTTTAGCATCATCAACCGTATAAATGGTTATTGAGATGCTATACTCGGTGATTATTAATCGTTGATGTGATAAAATAACTTCTCATTAAACATACATACACATGTGTGTGTATGTGTGTGATTGTGCGCTGGACAATGATTAATAATCATCCAATGTATTTCATCGAGTGTAGGATCAAATAGACCATAGTAATAAATCCCATGTATATATATATATATATATATATATATATATATATATATATATATATATATATATATGTGTGTGTGTAAATTAGTAGCTACAAGCCTACATGTATAAATAAAATATATGTTGATGAATAGTATTAAATATTAATTAATACTTTCTTGTCATAATAATTAAAATTATCATGTATTAATACTTAAATGTTTTTAATTATAATTATATTAAAAAAAATAAGGAGGCAATAATTAAAGAGAGAATAACAGTGACATATTATATTCCCGGGTACAAAGATCAAATGTGTTGACATGTGATGGGATGTCAATTATCACTATATTTTTGTTTTTTAATTCCTGTCTATTTTTATTTAAAATCAAATAAAATAAATAAATAATAAAAATAAATAAATTTATGATATATAAAAAAAAATGTGATTTAGTAGTAGGTACCCCACCTGCGCACTAACTTATTTGTAAGTATTATACCTAGAACGTGAAGGGTAACCCTACCTTTCTCCCCACGCTCTGCTAAAGCTGTATTTTCTAAACACATTGTTTGCTGAATTATATAGAGTGGTCCTCCTTCCTTTTTTCTTTTTTTTTTTTTCCTACCATTTTATTTTTATTTATTTAAATATGCATACAAATTATTTTATTTATTTATTTGAATAATCATATATATCAAATTTATTTATGATCTGTCTATCTTTCTGGTTTTTATAAATACCATGTTATGGCCTCTCATTTACACACAAACACCACACACACACACAAGGGTTTTCTTGTTTTTTTTTTTTTTTTTTTTTTTTTTTAAACAATGAAAATATTACTCAAAGAAAAAAAAAACACACACACACAGTGGAATCCTGTCATGCTTTTCCACAGCTTTCTTGAACTTCTTGTGTTGGTATTTTTTTCAATTAAGAATATATATCTATCTGTACATACAGAAGTTCAAGAATGCTGTGGGAAGACATGGCAAAGTCTGGATTTTTTATTATTTATTTATTTATTTATTTGTTTTTTGGTGATTTTTTGATTTTTTTCAGGGTGTTGATATTTGCAGAATTCATCGGTGGTAGTTAAATTGTAACTCTGGTGGGGATGAAGAAGATGAATCTCCGGTGCACTACTAACCATGGTTAATAATATGGTCTACAAGATCTGTACGCACATGGTAATAATTCTGATTATATTTACTGTTTAATTCATTAATTGCATTATTTTAATTAATCACATTTGTTTAATTTGTCATGTATTTTTATTTTGCCACAATTAATTAACTTTTTTGTTTTTTCATCTGTAGAAAATGAGTACTGCATTATATATATTTTTATAATTAAGATGAACTGTTTTTTCAACATAATTAGTATATGTAAGAATTTTGTTTAATTTGTAGCTCCATTAATTTTCTTTGAGCTTCTACATGATTCTTAATTACATGACTTAAATCTTTATTTATTAGTCTTAATTTTGCTTCTGGTAAGTGCTTCCTTAATACAGTGTTTGCATAATTTAGGATTAATTATGTATATTAATTTTCAAGGTGATTTAATCAATTCTTCAAAAGTAGTATATACAATCTGAAATATGTCATGCATGCATGTCCTTTACTTTACATCTATATATTTAATTCTGTGATTACATTCCCTTTGCTCTGATTTTTTTATAAATTATAATCTCAGGGTTATATATTATAAGCACTAATTTAAGCATTTATCAAAAAGCTCGATTCTTAATTCGTAAGTTAGCGACTTTCGAACTTTTCAAACGCTTGGCAATTATATTTTCGTATAATCTTGAATATATATGCAG